TGAGACCATACTTTTCAGTCAGTTCTTTGAATCTTGTGTCCTCTGCTCGGGGATGTAGTGGGCTCAATAATACCTGAATCCAACAGGCTTTTTATTTTCTTCCTAATAAATGACCCCTCTTCTCAAGAGTATCTTCAGAATTCCATAGATATAGGTCTACAGTCAGGCGACAGATTTTCAAACAGAAGAGGAAGTGAAATCCTTATGCTAGCTATTCCGTACAGTTTTAGGGGTGATCTATCGCCCTCATATAAAATTTCTATTTTTTGTGCAGGCTTTGAGTGTCATGTCCAAGGATCACATCAGCACATAAATTATCCATTAAAGATAATTTTTGTATGTTTTCGTACTCACCGTAAGATTCGCTTTACAGTTTACAATAACAAGTCAGAAGACGCCATGCTGATATTTCCCTAATCTACTAGCACAGTAATTTTTCTTTTTTGTTGTTCAAGAGACATTTTACAGTGGCTTTCGAAATTCCCTGTAGCCTAGTAGCTACAGTGCCAATGACAGGTAATGCAGCATAAAATGTATCAGTTTTCAACTGACAGACTTTAGCGAAATGACCTTTCTGCAATTGTAGCAACTCGTTCCTCGAGACAGACACGTACTTCTAGAGTTCCTAGGACTTCTGCAGTAAAAGCACCTTTCTTTAAAAAGCGCCCACGTCGCAAACGGGTGTGACACAAGGTCGAAGTTTAAAGTGGGTCTAACGGCCACACCGTGCAAAAATTACGAAGGCTCCTCGACACTTCCTTTTTTACCCTGCCGGGCAATAAACCTAGCCCCCTCCCCTCCCGAGAAAGAGTTACTGCCTGGGGGGAAAGCCCTCACCACCTGGAGTTCGAGTTAAAAGAATATCAGTCCCAACCAAGGTTAGGATTAATTTACCCTCTTAGTGGGAAATCGAAGGTCGTAGTCTCGCAGCGCTGGTTCAAGCCGAGGCGGGTGCTATTATTAAAGAAAAAATATCTTCACGACGAAAATTAAAACGAGAGATTCGAGGGGTTAATCTTCAATTCGTTTATATGTCTCTTAGTACAACAAAAATTAACCCTTCCCGCATCAATAGTGACACTGGGCCTTGTCTAAACTTCTGGAGGGCTGGGTTTGACATCTTAGAATCAGGAATCTTGACGTGGATTTCAGAAGGACTCAATGCTGGATCTCAGCCCAAAGTCTCTGAGCTCCCCATAGTCATATGCTTATATGCATTTCAGCTCAAAACTGGCGTGGGGCCGACAACTTCTGGGGATTCGGTGATTCCCCAATTTTTATTAATTCCAATAAAGGTTTTCTTTGTTCCCTATTTCTGCTTTCTTAATCAACTTTCCAAATTTGGAGAATTGTCCACCTTTCTTGGGAATAGTCACAGGGATTGCTCTTCCCTTAATTCCAACCTACTTCACTTCACATCTCACACTACTACTTAGCACAGACAGGGATAAATTCCACCCCTTCCTCCTCGGTATTCTAACTCTACCCACTTCTCAGGGCTGGTATAACTATCTTTGTGACAAATCTAATGTTTAAAGTGCCTAGGAGAAAGGGTTTGGTTTATTTTCCTTATTAATTTCAATTCTCTGACTTCTTTTCTGGATCCACTTGTCCAGTGAAAAACACAAACCTGATTACCGTCTCATTTTAACCTTTCGTGCGATAGATAAAAATTATTTCCCAATTTGTTTTCGTTAATGAAAATATATTTTTTTTACCTAAATTCTCAACAAAGAGATATGCCGTTTTCTATTCTTAGGCTGGTCGTCGTCTTAGCGAAAACATAAGCCAGATCATCTGGTTTTCATAATCCTAACCCTCGCAGCGGTTTTATTCTCTGTTTTCATTTCTCAATTCGTTTTCGCTAATGAAAATATAATTCTTATCTGCTTCTCTTTTCGTCAATGATATGTGTTTTTCTAATTTCCCCCCAAAAAGATAAAGCCATTTCCCAATTTGCATGCCAGATTTTTGATAGATAAAAAAAGTAAACTTTTGGTGCTTCATTCCAATTCATAGGGATGAGGCAACCCAGATGGCCCTTTCTTCACTTACACATTACCAGGGAAAAATGTCTTCCATTCTCTCTATTATCTATATTCCAGTTTATATTTCATTTTGGGCCTAACCCTTTCTCTGCTTAGAATTAACGTTTAACCATCCGACAGCCTCGGTGTCACGTTTGTTTCAAATCAGATTAATTAATCCATATGGCCCTTGATGCTTGGGATTAAAATGCTTCACTAATAATGAGGTACCACTCACCTGGCTGTTGATTTGGAACATACTCTGGGCCGGCATAAAGTCTTTCGCAGTAGGACTGGTTGCTTTGCCAGAATACATTAAATTATGAACAGTTATGTATGACCAGCCTTCCCCATATTTTGGCCTTGTGCTGCATTTTATGTAATTTATACATATATAAATATTGGTATTGCGTATTGTAGGAGGGAAAATGTAATCTCATCATTTTGTCTTTAAGATTATGTGCAAAGTTTGTGGATGTTTGAGAATCTTGGCTCTTCTCGAAATATTGTCAAAGAGGTGCCAAACTTAATTTCTGATGACGTGAATCTGATTCTTTTTTTTTTTTATTAAAAGTAGTAACTATGATAAATTATCTGATTATATTTGTTTTCTCTTTCTGTTGATTTGTAATCTGAAATTATTACATGAAGGTTTTTTTCTTCTTTTATATGCCATATCCTTTCGTGGCATAGACTATCATGGCTCTTCACAACTTCGTCTTTTTTTTTATTAAATCAATGCTATATCTTAACAAAAACCAAGTACTGTTAAAAAATATTTTTTTTAATTGTGCAAAAATAGCAAATAAAACCATAAAAAAAGGAATGAAAACATCGGGATATCAATTAATCGTTTCAACAGATACTCAACAATTTTTATTTAATAGCTGTACACAAATTTTATTTGGTATCAATAAACAAATGACCAAAAAGAAATCCATGAATAGATGTTTTTCCTTTGTATTCATTTTTAGTTGGATAGTTATTTTTTTTTTGTCTCTTCTCAAGTAACTTATCAATCAAGCACGACCTTAAAATAAAAATAAATAAATAAAAACCTGATATTTTTAAGAAATAGTTCAGGGTGAGAACATTTTAGCATTCTTACGGCGCAAAAAAGAAAAAAATTGATAAAGATAAACAAAAAAATAATACGTTCCTTACCATTTAGTCTCTTTGAGTGGTAAGGGACGTAATTTATTTGATCTTTATTTTGAAAATACAAGAAGTTTTGTTTACTATATCTTTCTCATTTTTAATTGTTCAGGGTGAATTCGGACTAAAAGAATCATTAAAATCGGACTATTAAGTAGATTCCTTATGATTTTTGTAGTAGGCCTGAAAAAACTAAAAATAAATTTAAAAAATACAGTAACAAATAATGTCGTCGGCGTACAACTTGATTTGTAAAAAATAAATCTATAAAAGAAAAATTATGGCGTAGGAGGATAATTTAAAAAATATTCCGTATCTCGGTTGTCCTTAAAAAAATGCATTATGTTTTTATAATTATTTGCATTTTTTAAAGTTATGAGGCCCTTTTTGTTTTTTATTTATTAGTGCATAAACCCGTTTTAGCGGCATTATTTCACAAAAACGAAAACAAAAAACAAAACGGAATCTTAGACTAACTGTTCTTTTTAGCCCTGTAATTCTTGATTTTATGTTGAAAATATTATGGAATACGGTAGCGATTGAAAATAGTCTCCCCTACTTTCAATATAACTTCTCATGACAGGAAGATCTTTTCTCACAAAATTTTAAATAGATTTTTCATCGACTAAAACTAAAAAAAACAAACCATAAAAGTGCATTTGGAGAAGTTATGAAGTTTGTTAAAGCGTGTCATTTAGCTGTGTTACTAATTTAAATTTACCAAGTGAACCATCCAAGAAGTGGAATAATTACACAACTTGCTTAATGTTCTGTACAAAGATTCAATAATAAAGCCTAAAGTTGATGGACAAGGAGAGTAAACGAATTTAGAGACACAGAAGCAAGAAGCTGTATATATTTTTTTATTATTCATTACAAAAGTTGGTTTTCCTTTAAATCTGTTGTAGTAATTTTTAAAACGTTCGTTTTGGTAGTTTTTAAAACGTTGACCGAAACGAAACTAAACGAAACGAAACTAGTACTTCTGTTGATAGATGTAATTGTATTATTAAAATGTGTCATCAAATTTGCTCGCGTCTAATTAGAGACCAAAATTATTTTCAGAATTATTATTTCTTTTGCCTCTCCAGTCTATATCAAGTCACGATTATTATATTTCGGAGTTACGACAGCGGTTAGTCAATTTTAATTTCAACCAATTACAATCATTTCTTAATAAAACAAAATGCTTGTACTTTTGAAAAGTTATTTCACGATTTAAAAATATTACAAACTAACATGTTAAAACACGTTTTAAGTTATAAACAGCCCCACTTTTTTCCTCCATTGATGTGTGTGTACCATCTTAGGGCGACACAAATACGGCGTATCCAAGGGTGAGGATCGAACTCATTACTAGTAGTAAATATTGTAATACTAGTCTACGTACGAGATTCCAGGGCGAGCATTTGATATCGCATTTTTTTGAAAAACCTTTGCGTTAGATCAAGAAGAAAAAAAAAAAAAGAAAAGAATAATACATTAGTCTTTTTTTTTTTTTATTTCGTTAGTGTATTTTTCTTTTTTCCTTACTCTGGTCGTTGTCTTATCAAATGATAAATTGTAAGTAGAGAAAGAGAGAAATTTGTTTTGTTAGTTTTTATGTTTTTAAAAAACTATCTGTTGCTTTCTCTGGGATGTCCGAAGAAAGAATAAGATAAACTTTTGTTGTTGTTGAATGTGTTCGGCTGAAAATAAAAGAATGCATTTTATTAATTATTAATATAAATATTTTATTTTTCATTCTTACAATAAATATCTGATATCATAGAAAAATATAAATATGCTGTTGTAAAAATTCTTTCAGGAACATAAGTTATGGAGCAGTACACAATTTTGGGAAATATTGGGGAAGGAGCACATGGGATAGTTTTCAAAGCAAAATTCAAACAGGTGAGAATTCTACATTTTCTGTCTGCATCTACAATTTTTAGTAACTTTATTAACTTTTGAATTGTTGCTAACAAACTACGCAGCAACATGTCCGTACTTGACAATTTGTGAATTTGATTTAAAAACCTTCTTGAATACATGTTTTTCCTTACTATTTCTTTTAGTTTTGCTGTAAAATTGAAATAGCGTGATGTAATGTAATAATAAACTAAACGTAGAAGGGCATTTCAAATAACTCGTTTAAAAAAATGTCTAAATAAGAGAATTTGTAATTTAAATATTGTGTAGAACTTCAGAGTATATTTCGCTGTAGAAAAGAATTTCGCGTGATTTAAAGAAATTCGTTGCAAATGTTTAACTCACTAAAAATCTGTCTTCAGAACGTAGAGAAGATGAGTTTAAAAATAAAAAAATTAAAATTGTTTCATTTCTCGATATGTAACTCTTGGAACAAAAAAACAAACAAGTATTTCTTTTATGTAGAGTGGTGAAACAGTTGCTTTGAAGAAAGTTCGTCTAAAGAAGCCTGAAGATGGAATTCCAAGCACTGCCCTCAGGTATTTTATTTCCTATTTGAGTTTGACTCCATAAAATTAAAAAAACAGCAGTCTCCCATAAAATCATTAAAAAAAAATAATGAATGAATTTATTTCATAAATAAACGTTTTTAAAATTTTAAGTTATATTTTAATTTTAAAAACTTTTCCCTTCATTTTTTTTAAATTAAAAAAAGTTATACTAACAATTCGTTTTTCTTGTTTTCTGTTTACTTTTTTTGTGATTATATTTCATTTATAAACATGATTTCTGCTCTGCATCTACAAGTGTAAAGAATGATGCATCAATGGAACAGAGGATATAAGCTTTTTTTTTTTACAATGATGTTCACGCTGTACAAAGCTCAAGAGCCACTCGAAGTAGAGAGTTACAGATTAAGAGACACCATCCCAAGCAAGGTAATAATGCCACCAAGATGCAAGGACGCCACCTGAAGAGAAACAGAAAGAAAAAAAAACTTTAGAAGAAACAACCCCTATCTTAAACAGGAGACAAGGAATAAACGTCCATTCCTGTTCAAAAGATGGGAGAGGAGTGCGAACCGGACGATAGGCGAACCTAATTTTCAATTAATCTAAGATCATATAAAAACTTACATAATAAAAAAGAAGAAAAGTAAAATTAAGAGTAAATAAAAAATAATACAATACTAGGTTTGTTTATTACATTTTCTTTGAAGGAAGTGTTTAAAAAATATTTAGTAATCAAAGTTACTCATATGATTTCTTTAAATAGAAACTGCTAACATCAAGTCAGACAGAAAATTTGTTATGTAGTAAAACTTTGTATAAACGAGACTAGAATTTGATGTTGTAAAAGAACTGATGATTTCTAAAAAGATACACATAAAATTTGTTTTTCAAAAATCTGTAAAAGAGGAGGCTCAAATATGATGGTCTCAACACCTACATAAATAGAGTTTGCAAACAGGTTTAAAGAGATATATTTTGTGATTATTTTTTAACCAATAGAGAAAGCAAGTTCTGAAACCACAGTATTAAATTTCTGATTCAATTTGGAATCACATTTTTGTGGTTTGTCTGAAAAGTAGAAGGGCTCTGGCATTCACAAGAAAGACATCAACTGGTTCTGGGATCTGAACTTAGAAGACAAAGAAAGTAGAGGAGTTTCATCACTCAAAAGAAAGACATCAACTGGTTCTGGGATCTGAATAAAAGGAAAACTAAAAACTGTCAGCGACTATTACAAGGAAAAGAAAAACACTAAAAGAAATAAAAGCAAAAAGGAGAAAATTCTACAAATTTAGAGAGATATGATTATTTTTCTATAGTTGTTTCTGAAAGTTTATCACAAAAGTAGAGGTATTAACTCTGATTTTGAACTTTTTATAAAAATACAAAATTTATCAACTCTTTATAAAACTGAACTATTGTCTAAACAAATCAGAAACTGTGAATTGTCATCATCCTCAATTCCTTTTGGCAGTTGAATGAATCAAAGTAAGTGAACATTTTATTGATAATAATTATAATTCTTTTTATGAGACAAGGAAAATTTTGTTCAAGCTTGTTTTGTAAATTTTGTATTCTGTGCTATTATTTTTTATGTCATTTAATAAATGTAAATTTCTTTCAAATTTCACACCAGAATAAGAGTCTAGTATTTTTTTGTTTGCACCATTTATAATAATCTGGATCAGAGACTTGATGTTCTCTCTTCTCTTCCAAAAAATCCTTTTAATCATCTTTGAACATAAGTTAATAAAACAGGAATAATGGAAATTTGAATATTAGATTTCATAAATGGCAAACTGTATTTTGGTCAGTACTTTCATTTTTATGGTAGAATTGTCATCAGAATATTTATGCCTTTACATTCAGACTAGTATCATCATCTTGGTTGCTATGCTCACAATATTTTGGACTTTCTACTTCTTCAGGTATTTCTCATTCTTTATAACATTCTTGAATTTTGAATTGAACTCTTTATTCAATCTACTGGGGTAGAATGTTTCTCTGTTTAGGAGATATCTTCCATCAATTAATTCTCTCTAGTCTATTTGCCTTTGTGCTGTTTGTCTGCTTCTTTCACTGAACCAGAGTATGTAACTTTTCCATGCTACCTGACTCAGAGATTGAACTCACAACTAACAAGTACAGTCTCTTGGTGTAAATTGATGTCATTTTCAAGTCTTAAACCTAAAGTCTATACTCATGTTTTGGGAATTTTGAGAGTCTTTTCTTTCTTAATCAGAGATTTCCAGATGGTATTCATCTTGTCTACTGAGGATGTTGTCATAATCTAATATGTGTGCTGATTCTTTCAGTTGTCTTATTCTCCTGTGTTGTTCTATGTCTGTTAAGCTGACAGATATATAACAACACACAGGGGTTGATGATTACCCTTTTCTCTTGCCTTTTTCAATGTCTCCCCAGACTACAGCCTTTCAATCAATGTTCCTCCACCCTTACTTTTAGTGGGCAGTCTTGTATTCTTTGGCCCAATTGCATGGAATACACACAGTTCTTGGTTATGTTCTTTTACAAGAGAGAGACGGAGTTCAAGAGTGATATCTCCAAAGAACTGTTTTTGAAGACCATTTTGATGTATGAACTGCAAATTCTCTAACTCTTATCAGATTATGTATGGTAGACAAACAGTGGAAGATTAATTCTGGTCCTCATCTTTTCTATCTTTGATCATGAAAGTTGATGTTTGTAGGGTTGTTCTTTAACTTCTTGTTATGTGCCATTTATGATGATGTAGGCAGTCGATGATCCCTTTTTCTTAGCACTGTATGGATGATGGTAATTGAAATTCATCTATTGTCCTGTGAATGTTAGCTTAAAATATACAAATGTCTTGAATCTATATTGTGCAAGTTATTAGTGCATCCAAGGTCAGTTGATCTTCTGATTCCTTTTCCACTGTGCACTGCAAGTTCACACTGTCCATCAGGATCAAAGTATGATGGTGTCATCTCTATATCTAAGCCACATGATTGTTTCTACAGAAATGTCCATGAATTGTTCCATCTATATGTTTGCCATTACTAAAGATAATGGTGATCTCAAAGCTAAGCCTTCTTCTTATCAGTAAATATTGGAACCCATTTGAAAGTATATTTTTTTTATCTTCATCAGGTTATCTATTGTGGCCCTTGTACACTCTCCTAGATATGGGTTCAATTATAACTTGTCTCATACCACCAATAGAGTATCATCTTGGTGAACTCATAATGTCTAAGCTCACTATCTGGTTGGTAGCAGCCCTGACAGTTTCCACAAAATGGGCAGATTTCTTCATATAGCACAGACACATATCTATTAATGAATTGATTATACCTGTGAGGAAGCTATGCAGCAGCTGGCCATCTTTGGCTGCACATCTGTAGTAGTTTACTGTGAAATTGAGTCAGCTGTCTGTATTCATTCACTAATATTTCCTAAGCTTGGAAAGCAGAATCAAAATATTTTACTCAAATTCAGGGCGTACTGAGTAGGATAGACACCTGAAGAAAGATCAGCAGATGTAATGGCTGAAACATTCTGAGTATAACAGCCAAAATAAGGATGTAATGACATATAATAAAGATAATTAGTTGTCTCAAAAAGTCCAGCATCAGTTGTCATCAGAACATTATACATGTGTCAGATAGCAGTTTTGATATAAAATGTAACAAGATAACTTGAGCAGCTGGTTGAAGATACATTGTTAAATCAAAATCATAAGATGAAAGAAAGCACAGGACAATTCTGATAGAAGTTTGTATTTCTGCTATTTCCTGACTTCCTAACAATGGCACACAGCCACTTCTGCTGATAAAAATTCTGGCTTGTAGTTGTAAAAATAGTTTTGATTTTTTTCATACATTTCAAAATTATCACTTTTAGAAACCTTCCTTTTTTTAAACATTTTCTTAAATTGTTTTAATTAAAAGACCTTCATCGACTTTATTGTGGCACACACCACTGTAATATTCATATTTTTTTATTGCGTTGATATAATTTTAGATGTTATTGAAAGCAAAAGTTAACTATATCTTTTTGACAATCTAATTATTCCAAGAATTTGTATTTGAAGAAAATTCTTTTTACATTTCTAGTTTGCATATAAAGAGTTTAAGTTGTGAAACATGAATGTCATTTAATACAAAATTTAATTTTCTGACTTCATGCTCACTTTATTTTTTACACTATTTACATTATTCGGACTATTGTCCTCATCTTTGTTGCCATATTTATCATGTTTCAGCTGTTGTACACTCCAGCCTTTTTCAAGTGGTTGGAATGTTGAACTGAACCCTTTATTTCACTCACTGGGGTAGACTGCTGAAAACATTAGGTTTATAATACCCAGAAATTCTCCTCAAAGAGTGGATAAAGGCGTTAGCTAGATCCAGTGACAGGACCCAAAGAGTGTGAGTTCAATACCTGGTTAAGATGGCGGAGAACTTGGAGAGGGGAATTAACAGGAGGTAACTGACATTCATTAGACATAGCATGTGGAACTAGAACAGTCTACCCCAGTGAGTGAAATAAAGGGTTCAGCTCGACATTCCAACCACTTGAGGCCGGAGCATACAATGACTGAAATGCTGTGCTAAATATGGCAACAAAGATGAGGACAATAGTCTGAATAATGTAAATAGTGTACATAATACTTCATCTTAGAAATATAGACAGATACTTTATTTTTTGTTTCCAGGGAAATCAAAGCCTTGCAACAGATTGAAGATAATCCTTATGTGAGTTAATTGACTATTTTAATTGTATTTGAAAGAATTTATTTTCAGAAATAAAATTCAGTTAAAAAGTATGACAAAATATTATTCCAATAGGCTTATTCAAAAATGCTTTTTAGAGTATAGCTCAATGGTGATGGTGGTTCTTTTTATTGGAATTAAGCAATATTTGGTTATGATATTGACAATGTTTTGAACATTGTACTTCTCTGGCTTCTTAGAATTTCAAATTGAACCCTTTATTCAAGCCACAGAAATATATTGTTCTCAGTTTGCTTTCTATGTTTAGTGGATATTTTATATCAGTTAATACCCACTAGTTTTACTCACCTTTGTTTTTCATATGTGACTTTTCAGCACAGCCAGACACAATGACTATTAAAAGGTTACATACTCTGGTGTTAGTCATTGTACGAATAGGTCTATCTAGACATATTCCAGGGATCTCCTATAACTGAGTTGTGTTTACGAGGTGTGGCTACATGGAATTTAATGAGGCCTGCAACATATCACAACCAGGGTTTAAATCTGACAAGCTTGGAACGTTGAAGTCAGCCAAGTGTTCCTGAAATCAGTTTCATGTCAACCACACATGATGGAGGGTGTGGCTACTTTATGTTGTTACTTGGAAACACAGTAAGCATAAAAGGATAAAACAATAATCTACATTTATTAAGATCTATGTTCATCATCCATATGAAGACAGGCTTCAGTTTTGCTAGTTATTCTTTTGAACTCCAACAGATCACATTTCACACCATGTCAAAGCCACCACCAACTTGCACAACACCTTATTGACAGACTGTATCCATGGTTTCATGTAGTCTCAAAACCACTTGAATTTGACCCTCTGCTCAAAAGAATTGGAAACAGACCTCTGCTTGTCAGGTGATGTGACACCAATTCAATGGTGATTTTTCTCTGGCCCAAGTAGCAACTGATACCATGATGTTAATAATGGTACCTTTATTGGTCAGTGATTACAAAACTCCATAGAATACAGTGTATGTTGTAAAGTGTATTGCTTGATTGATTGAGTGCATTAACATTTAATTGAGATGTGATTTAGTGCAATGTTCTTTTTTGTTGGGTGGTTATTACACTTGGCAGTTGCCACTAGTCCCATTGTTGCATCACCCATGGGTGCCCACAGTTTTTTTGTTTCCCTGATGTCTGTCTGAAATTCATACATTCCTCTTATAATCTTTGCTACTGTTACCTGAGAAAAGCCTCAAGCACTTTCTACCTGAGATAAAGTGCCTCATCTTTCTGACCTCAACAATCATTCTGAAAACAGTGTTAAATCCTCCCAGCATTCCATAACTGCCAAATCTACAATACCTCTTTATCTATATGTCATTTGATTGAGTTCAGTTCTCCAGGTGTGGGAGAAAAAAAGCATCTAGTGTACTAGAGACTCTAATTTATTATATGCATACTAATTATATAATAAATAATGTACAAGCACCATTCTTATACTTTTCAGGTGGTGAGACTTTTAGATGTATTCCCTCATGGGGCTGGTTTTGTGCTTGTTTTTGATTACATGCTGTCAGATCTTTGGGAAGTAGTGCACAATTCAGAGCAGCCACTTACAGAAGCACAGATTAAATCTTACATGCTCATGTTACTCAAGGGAGTTGCCTTTTGCCATGAAAACAATATTATGCATAGGGTAAGTGGCTTAATGCTCTTTATAAATAGGATAATACATTTCTTACATAGATTTTAGGTTCTATTAAAGATGTAACAGTTACATATAAGTTATTCTGTTTAAAAGTAAACTTGATATTTATCTTGCTGACTTTACAAGGACTTTTTCCTCAAAATGAATGGTTTCTTTTTTTTTATAATAGATTATTCTGAAAGTAATCCTATAAATTTGGAAAGGGAATAAAAACTCATTCAGATGCAGTAAAACTTACGTTAGTTTCATTGGGAACTTTTACCATTGTTAATATTGGTAAGAATTAGTTACTAGGATGCTTTTTTATTCCTTAAAGATTTTTCAAATATTTTTCTATGATTGAATTTTGTTTAATATTTCTATTTCTACAAATGACATTTGGAACAATAAAATAAATTATTTCGCTTTTGTAGCATATTTTTTTCTTTCTAATCCTTTTTGGTTCCCTTTCTTGTTGCTTTTAGCTAAAGTTCCTTTATAGATCAGTTTAAATATAAAACCTCTCACTGTTTTTGGCTTAGCTATAATAAAAGATAAACAAACTCTTGCATTAAAAATTATATTTTATATTATAAAAAATTTTAGGAAAAAGAGTAATCATGTAGTTTAAAACTTATTGACATTTGTCCCTTTTGTGATATTGAAGATTATTACAGGTATTAGTATGTAATTTTCTTTAATTTCAAAATGAACTCTAAAGCTTTTGATTTCTAATTCAGTACATCAACTACTAAGTATTAGGTTTTGTTCTTTAAAATTGCAATAACATTGTGATAGCTTTTTTTTAGGACCTGAAACCTGCTAATCTTTTGATCAGTTCAAGTGGACACTTGAAAATTGCAGATTTTGGTCTGGCCAGAGTGTATCAAAATGTTGGTGATCGGCAGTATAGCCACCAAGTAGCCACAAGGTAAGCATTACTAATCTGTTGACCAAGACAAATTCTCCATTTTATATAAGACATGCATAAATCCAAATTAAATTAGCTTTTCACTAATTTGATTCCTATTCAGTTTTATGAGAGGGTGCAGAAAAGTTCTTGGCTCAACCAGATATTCTGAGCTTTGATCATTTAGTTAGATTTTGGGAAGTGGGTCAGAATGATAACTTTTCAGCACCCCCTTGTAAAATTAATTTAAATCAATCCTAACTTTCAATCTTTTCAAATGAATTTAAGTTTTGAAACTCTCTGCGCCAAGCAAAGTATTTTGGGTCTATTTAAAACTTATTCAATAAATGTCAGGAACTTTTTAAATGAATGCCTAAAACTTTTGATATGAGAAAAATTTAGAGAGTCTGGGAGACTAATGTCAAGAGAAAATTGTTTTTTATCTGAAGTTCAATAAATATCTTGGTAAGTCTTATTTCTATATTTCAGATGGTATCGAGCTCCAGAACTTCTGTATGGTGCAAAGAAATATGATGAAGGAGTTGATATTTGGTGAGTTAGAAGATCATTGAATAAAATAGTGGATTAGGAATCAAAAGGTTTCAGGTTCAGTTAATGTGTTGAATGAGTCAAAAGCTCAAAAGACTTTAAAATTTCAGGTGGAGAAGAAAATGAAGTAAAATCCACTCAAGTGAGCCTATATAGCAATTTTTTCTACCTGACAGTGAAAAGCTGTCAAGTGCATTATATCTTAATGTTTTAAAAATAAGCAAGTTAAAGATAATAAATTCTGTTTAAGAGTATTGGACTTGCTGACTTTTCAGAAATTCACAGGTTTCCTCACTAACTCCACTATCCAAAATGGTGTAAAGATGAAACTTCATCTTTTGTTATGGCTGATATGGAAAGTCTGAAATACAGTTGTATGTTTGACTGCTTTTTCTATTATTGCTTTGTACCTTTTGTCCCCTCAAAAAAACATCCTTTAAGCCTGTCATTAATCTATATTAATCTTAATTTTATATTGGGGTCTGGGAATGCTCTGATTTTTAAATTATTATAATTAAAATTTAAGAAAATGAGATTCTTATAAAAATTCATTATTCATTGAAAACATTTTTTTTCTTAAGAAAATAGTATCATTAATTTAACTTATTCCCAAAAGCAACTAAAAGCTTTTCTAATTAAATAATGTCATAGTTTTTTTAGTTTACCATTTGGAGCAGATTTTCAGAAACTGAGCAAAATTTAAAAAAAAATCAACAAAAAAAAAAAAAAACAGTCTGAAAATATGATTTAATTTCTCAAAATTTCATGAAAATGGGGTGTAAAATTTTTTTTTTTTTACCAAGGTTTTCTAAAAAAAAAAAAAAAAAAAATTGTGAATAATTTCTGAAAGTTTCATTAAAATCCAACAATTTGATTTTTGCAAGATTTTCCAAATCAATGTTTTTCACTGGAAAAAAGTGCAAAAACACTTCATTGTAAAAATTACTTACGTCACTGACGTAAAAAAAAAAAGACAGGGCTTTTAACCAAAATTTTGAACATGTTAGAAAGGTTTAAAAATTTTTCTTTTTTACTTTGATCTTTCCACTTAATAATAACATGAACATTTTGACAATAAAACTGTTTTTATTAAGTTTTGGGTCTTTTTCTTCATGCTATACTGTTCTTTCAGTGAGCAAGTGGACATGCCTACTTTAAGCAATTTGATAAAAATTGGATAGTTATATAGACTGTCAGGAAGTTTTCAAATCTTTCTAATCATTACCAGGATTCTCTTAACAATAGCAAGATGTCTGATTGGGAGGTTGGAGGTTTTGAGGAATGTGGAACCACATTTTAATAGCTGTTGTTCCCAGGTTCACCCCTGACTAGGGTAGTAGCACTTGCTAGGGTCACAGCTATGAGCAAATAGTGAACCACCAAACAAATACAAAACACTATAAACGTATAAAATTACATTTTTATAGTAAAAATACCAGCAATACATTTTATCTAGTTGAAAACATACAAATGTATTCAAAATATTTAAATTTTGGCATTAAATAATCCATAGTGGTTGATATGCCACTAAACAAAATCAACCAACCTCTAAACAATACAAGCATAATGAACATTCCATAGGTCTGTACACATAAACACATGCAATCTTCAGTATGTATGTATTTGCATCATTGTATCTAATTATGTTGAGCATGTGTGTGTAATGCACTATACAGGATCTTCCAAAATATGTTTCTCCTAATTTTACAAGCTATCGTATCATACATAGATCCTTTGAGGATTTTGTTGGTATGAGAAAACTAGGCTATTCAATGACAAAAATGTAAACAAATGTCAAATTTTCCTTAATCAGCATACAGCCATAATTATTTGATCCTCCCACCCGACAATGAAAACTGAATGTAAACTTATATACAAAGTATTTATATACATGCTAATTGACTTAAAGAAATTCTGAAAGCATTGGTGCAGTTTTATTCTATGTTAATGTAGTCATATTTTAAGAATTAAATGAACTTATTGATTTATCAAACTATTTTCTGGGCACATTCTATGCAAATGCAAAGAAAAAACCTGTGGAAACCATCACTGATCCTATCTCTCTCATCATTCAATCTTTGAAATTGTATTACATTTCTTAAATGTAATACAATTTCAATTATCATACATGCTAAAATATTTGATGTAAAACATTTTTTCCAACATTATTCTTAATAATAGCAATATTTTTCTTTTCAATACAGTATAAGAACAAATAAATAGCAGCTAGAGATTTTTTTTAACATAGTAATTACAAATTCAGATGCTACTGAAGCACTTTGAAAATATTGAACTATTAATTTGGAAACATTCTTTTATAAGTACTATATTACGTTATTAAAGATAAAAAAAATAATGTTTTTATTTTGTGTTAAAATTTATTAGATATTGATAAATTTTATCATATTTAAGAAATTCTGGTAATCTGGAAGATTTCATTTGTGACCCTTGCTCCAAAATGCTCTTTCCAACAGTTGTTCAAATAGAATTAACATTTAATGAAGATCAATGACACATCATCATCATTTTTTTTTTATAGGGCTGTTGGTTGTATTTTTGGTGAACTCTTGAACAATTCTCCTCTTTTCCCTGTAAGTAGACATAATTTTTTCAAAAATAAATATAATAAATCTTGATTTAGATTTATATAGATTGACTTAATGTTTAATTTTACTAATATTTTTCTTAATATGAGAGGCTGCTGTCTATCCCAATAAATGACAAATAAAATAGCATCCCCATTTTTCTTCAAAATTCTTAAGAAAACTGATAATTTTTTTCTTTGCTGTTATTTTACATTACCTTCAATGATGAAAACTAAACCCATAAGAATAATCAAATGAATATGCACAACACACATTAGGCATTAAGTGGTGCCATATTAATATCACTCCAGTTTATAATTTTGTTTTTACACTGCCACTAAATAAAGTTGAATCTTCTGAGATAAAGCCATAAAACAGGTTAAGTTCTCTTTTTTTTTCTGTCAGGAGAATGAAATAAAATATACAACTATAATAGATAAACCACTAAGTTTATATTGCCTCTCAATGTTTTTTTTTTTTATTGTAACAAATACAAGATATTACTTATAAAAACTAAGTATTAATATAACTAGCTACTTTAATCACTAAAATTACAAATTAGTTATTCAGATAATTATACATTTGTTTCATTAACCCTTTGAGCCCTGACCACTGCTTTATCAATGGTAGAGAAAAATGATGTAATGCCCAGCCACTGGTTCAAGAGTGGTAGAGAAAAATTACTTCCAGTTACCAGTTAAATGGTGAGTAAACACTTGTAACTATTTATATATCTACCATGAAACATTACATACCAATTATTTGTGAATTTTGACTCAGGAGCTCAGGCAGAAGGGTTCAAATTGTTCAGGAATGCAGGGCTCAAAGGGTTAAAGGTCAGTTTTCAAGACCTGAAAATGTAGAGTAGGACTCCACTTTTCCCTACTACTGTGACAATAGACTACTCCTATTTATAAATATGGCAAGTAGCCACATTTGAGTAGCTGATTTACTCAAGTTTTTCCATTCTATGTATGATTTGAGGCAATTATTGAAAAATGATAGTAAAAACTGTTACTGAAGAATTAAAAAAAAATTACAAAAGTACACATTTTTAAATGTTTTTTTTTTCAGTATGTCTATTAAATCCTTCTTTGTTTAAATTTAATTGAACAATAGTTATTTTAAACATTTGTAATAAGAATTTCTTTTTATTTCAGGGTGAAAATGATATTGAACAATTGTGCTGTGTGTTGCATGCTCTTGGTACTCCAACAGAGAAATTATGGCCAGTATGTTAATGAAATCCTGTCAACATCTGTTTTAGAATAGAAATAATTTTTGTTTCTGTGGGAAACTAACTCCTTAGACTTCATTCATTTAATCACTTTAGGGTAGTTGAAAAGATATTTATTAAAAAAAAAAAAATTTCTCCAATCTGGAGCAGCTGCTGATGTATTATGTAATGAATCTTTGTTCTGAGTCTAACTTTGGTATTGAAGAATGATTTAAGATAACGTGTAATCAAAACAATGATTATCCAGATGCAGGTGACAAGATATTTTGCAAACTCAAAAACACAGTAAGTAGTTAACGTTCATATACTAAGTCAAATTCTGAATTTACTTAAAAACCAAAAATTTCTATTCCATACACAAATGGACTAATATTTGTCCGCATTTTTAGGTATAGAGATAAACCACTGACAGTGTAAGCTCATTTCTGACAAGAATCCTCAGAGTTCAAATTGCTTTGGATGATTTCTATAATCTAACTTTTTACTTATCAAGAGGAAAAGCATAAAAATGAGAAATACCAATTATTGAAACAAATTCTGAAGTGTTTTTTTTTCTCAAACTTTATAGCATAAAAGTAATCCACAGTGTGCGTTGAAGTTTTTCTTCTGTTTACATCAAATAAATGAAAACAAGGCAATAGAAATATGAAAGGATATACAGTGTTAGAATTTGTCTTAGTCCAAGTAAATAAAAATCCCAAGTTTTGCATTAAGCCATGTTTTTATAAAGATCTCAGTGAGAATCACATTACCAATGGCTTTAGATACCAGCAGACTGTTCATTACAATATGACAAAGTTCTCTTTGAATTACTCATTAAAAATATTTGAAAATGAAAAGTTTTCATGTAATTAATTCTTTCTCGAACATAGGAAGTTTATAGTCTGTCTGTACAAACTGCAATAAAAATACCTACAAATAATATTTAAATTTGCAGGGGATGACTGAATTACCAGATTATAAAAAGATAACATTTCCAGAGAATCCTCCAATTCCTTTTGAAGAACTTGTTCCAGATGCTTCTTTTCAAGCACTTGACCTTCTGGAGAAGTTCCTGGTTTATTCATCCAAGGAAAGAATTGCAGCAAATGAGGTAAGCATTGGTAGATTGTTGTGGTTCTTCATTATTAACAAAATAGCTTAATAGGGATTGCTGTGACTAATGTTTGCAAAGAACTTGTCTTTATTTAACACCAGTATGGTAACCTTTCAAAATGAACAGTGTTAATCAATCAAATAGAATAAATTTTAATTCAATAATACATGATTTGTGTATTCTGATTACAGCTTACGACACATTTACTTCTTGGAATTAACACCTCCACAGAATTTTAATATTACAAATAGGGATGATATGGGTTCTTTAAATGTTGCACAACTTAGGAACAATTAAAAGCCATGGTTCAATTTTTCAACAGTTCAAAATTCTCTTTGATCAGTGCAGATCAATATTAATACAACCATTACAGAACTCATGAGAGTGCCTGGTTTAGTGTAATTGTAAGTTCATCTTGCAAACTAATTTAACATCTTGATTATCACAAGATTCCTTAACTACTGTGGTTTTCTGCCTTTTAGCGATTTTGTCCAGACTAAATAAAACACCAAATCAGAAATTGTCACAATTAATGTAAAAGTTCCTTTTGCACACCATTAGGAAAAGTGGGAAAATATGTTTTTTCTTAAATTTACTGTCAATTAAAAAATGAACAATGATTTATGAATACCCAAAAATAAAGGAGATCATGTTTACAAATTTAAAATATTAAATAATTTGGTCCATGTAAAAAAAATAATGGAACTCTATAGATTTTTTTTTTTTTTTCAGGCTTTGCTTCATGTGTATTTCTTCAGTATGCCATTACCATCTCATCACTCTGATCTGCCTGTCCCCAAAAGAAGCAGACAGACCAGACGGCGACAGCAAGCTTATGATTACAATCCTGACATCCCACTTGAAAAGTCACTTTTTCTTCCAGAAGCTTTAACACCTCATGTCACTTGATCTAATTAAATATTCTATATCACTTCAGAGATGCCTTACATATTTAAGACTTTAAAAGGCAACAATATGACTGATAAAATCAGCAATATCTGTTGGTGAAATGTGTACAATTTTGATAAAATATTTAAGAGATCAAATTAATCATCTAGTTAAGCTTATAATTTTGGAGCTGAGAAAAAAAAGCATTGTATACAGGATAGGTACTGCATAGATTGATAAAATATGATGTTGTGGTATCACATTTCAATGCTTTTTACAGTAATTGGTTATATAATATTGATGTTATCATAATAGGGTGCTTAATCATAGTGTATCACAATTGATGTTTATAGTAATACTGTAACTGTATCAGACATAGTGTCTAATGTTTAAACCAAGGCAGTGAACAAGCAAGAAAACTAGTTTAAACAAATTTATTTTAAGCAGGACATTAACAGAAAGAGAGTGTCATGAGTGTATTAGAGGCAGATCAAATCAGTCAGAAGAATTCATCAAAGGTCAGCTTTAACATGTGGGTATGCACATAGACATGTTATCATTTAGGTAAAGACAAAATCATAGCATACATTATTTATAGGAATATCAAGAAATTCTGAAATTTTTCATTTGCTGACAACATAAAATGTGAGAACTCCATGATGCCTCATACCATTCACTTCTGTGGTCTAATACAACTACTATTTATTAACCTCATCTTATCCTGTCTTTGGTTTAGTCAGTTATCTCAATTCCTAATGGGCTGAACTTTTTTTTTATATTTGTTAATGGTTTGAAGAGAGATGGTTGGTGGGTGACAACTCATAAGTTAGTGCCAGCACCTACTTGTATAATTTGACCAAAGTGTTTTTGCTATCTTAACACACGAATTAAGAAGAAATGCTAAAATAAGTCTTTTTTTTTTTTTTTTTTTGTTACATATTAACTGTCAGGGTATAAAAAAAAAAGGCTGATAAGAGATGTCCTTAAAACAGAAGGCAGAAAAAAGAAATTCCCTAAGGTTTTGAAGTTGATAAATTAGGGGATTTCTTGCTGCTGACAGAACTCAACATTTTGAAATGTTGCTCCTGAATAGTTGAGTGAATTAGAGCATAAATGTGCCTTAATTAGAATAGAGTTATTCAGAAAATCAAAAATTTACATCAACAAAAAGCTTAAAGAAATAGAATTTTTAGGGGTACATACCAAGGAATCAAAGATTTCAGGAAAAAAGAAAAAAAAATCAGAAATTCACAATACTTAAAAAAAACAATAAGATCAGTTTGAATGTCTTTGTTTTATTTTGATATGTATCATCTTTCTTTTTCAATGTAAATTAATGAAATAACAGTTAGTCACACACCAGAAAAGTGAATATGGATTGCACTTTGAATCAATATTATAAATTAACCAAATCAGCAAAAAAAAAAAAAAAAAAAAAAAAATCTATATTGTTGGTTAACAAAAAAAAAAAAAATTACCAACAATTTTTCAGAACCATTTCAAAGAAAAAAAACTATACAACACATCCATAATTATGTTTAAAAAAATACATTTTCAGTAAATATCTAAATTTCAATTAAAAAAAAAAAAAAAATCAAACCAGCCAACATTGTATTCAACTTGCATCCCAAATATGCAGTTTTGTCAAGATGAGGTGATATAAAAAATTTTCATCTTCCTCCCAGTAATCATAAACAAATGATAATTTTTTTTTCAGTTGAACAATACAAAGATTTCAGAACATCAACCATAAACAGCTAAAACTGATTTTTTTATGTACAAAAAATAGAAAAATATTCCTTGTCATAACTGTTACAAGTGTTTTAAGCAATAGTTTACAAATCAATGTGTTTAAATACTTAAAAACAGTTACCATTTTCTGATTAGTTAAAGGATGATTATAAAAATTTAGTTAACCATTGTTTCTACTTATTAATTGAAAATAAATGTACAAATTTAATAATTTTGACTTGTATCTCAAAACTGGATGTGTGATTATTCATTGCATGATTTTAAAATATTCTGAATTTAGTTTTTCTGAAACAGAAATTGATGAAACGAAAAAAAAAAATGCAATAAAATTTGGGAATTTAAAATTTAATTTGCATTTGATTTTGGAATATTTCAGGAATAGTTAGAAAGTTCAATATCTTTTTTTCAAAACTGTAAGCATTTTGTTGTAGTGTGCACAACAATTTAGATTGAGCAATTAAATAAAATGGAAAGTGAGGAATACTTTTAAGTTTACCTTTCAATTCCCACACCAGAGGCAATTCATTTGTTTTTTAACCAAAGACATTTATTCAACCTATCTCCAGTAACAGGATAAAAAAATCAAGTCAAATGGGCATCTTAAATTGCCATTAAAAATATTAATTTGTTTGAGGATCTTTATAATTCATATTATATTTATTGTTATTTAATGCTAGTTATTTTAATAAATAAGTGACATGAGAAAAAAAAATTATTTTCTTATCAATTGTTAAAGTACACACAAGAACTTTAATTGATAGCATCTTATTCAAAGGAATTCATTTTAACATCACAATAATATTTTTGCTTAGTTAACAATTCAGACTTATTTTCTATGTTGTGTAAAGAGAGATTTGCAAACTTAAATATAAAAAAAAACAATGAAGTGATACAAATTGATTTTTAAAAAATTGGTACTCAAAAAACACATTATTGGATCATTTAACAAAAGGGTTTGTTTTTTATTTTTACACTTATATATCAAATAAACTAATTGAAGTATTGATATTAATTATTTTTACTCCTAACAATGTGGATATATGCAAGTGCCAATTTGAGTTATTGTAAATGCTTAAATAATACAATGGAAGGCATTCTGAGAAAAAAAAAAAACAACACTTGGTATCAGGCAGGGAAAAGCTGAACTGCTACTAGAAAAACTATATCAGATATTTAATATCAAGGAATACAGTTGATAAAGGTTATATGACTTAATCAAAATAGGTAATTTGTGAAAAAAATAAAAATAAAAATCAACCATTGCTATATAAATAAGTGCATGTAATGTATAAGTGGGTGCTGTCCCACATCCCAAAGTCTGACCAACCACTAAATTCTCAGGCCAAGAATGCTTCAGCATCCTTTCATATTATACTCAGTTTTGAGCATGAAAGCTTCAGCATTTAATTGGGTTTTCCAAACATTCAACTCTTGCTAATAATTTTACTGCAAAGACCTGTGAAAGAAATCTTAATAGAGAGAGTGTAAACCACAGTACATCAACAATAATGTTAGCAGTCACTTGCAACTGATAAGTTTACTACCATAAATAAAGAGAATTTCCTTTTAATATACATTTTGCAAGTATGAGTGTATTGACAACACTAGAATATGGAAGGAAATTATAATAGTTGGCTTGGATATTAATTGGTTTATTAAAGAAATCTTTTTATCAAATTGAATCTTCACTGCCTATTATAGATGCAGTACATTAGTCTAAAATTGAGTGATTTGAGTTACAAGATGAAAATTTGAAATGACTAAAGAGTAACTTCTGCAGAAACAGGTCAATGGACCAACTTTGTGTTTTTGTTTTTTTTTTTTTAAACCAAATAACCCACTCAGTATCCATTGAACAAAAGAATTACAATATTTTAAATAGTAAAATGAAATTATCCTGCCAAATTGTATATTTATTTCCAAACGTTATTTTGTGGATACCAATGTTTGAGTATATGTCATTACTTTTTTTTTTTAAACAGTGAATTGACTGCACATTTGAGAGACTTAAAGAAAATATGCTCTCCAGCAGGGTTTGAAATATACAAACAAGTATTACAGACTTTTACCATATATGAAGATAAGTGGGAAATGTTACATTTTTAAGTGTAAAGAAATAACATTTGATTAAAGAATTGACCCATTACTTTACAAGTATGACAAAACATAAGGATATCAAAACCTTTCCCTAAATCTGGCAGTGGAGAGTGAAAATGAGAACACACTTTCAAAAAAAATTTTTGTGGGAAAACATTAAGAACTTGAGTTAACAAAATTAAATAATAATAATAAAAAACCTCTTTTTTACAACATGCCATGAATATTTTTTTAAAAGGTGTTTATCAGACAAATATGTTTAAGTTTTCTAAATCTTATGAACAATGAGATAGACATCCAATTTGAACAAACAAAAACAGATCTATTGGCTAAAATTAAACTAGGTATGAAAAGAAATAAAGAACTTTTTTTTCTCTTCTACAGAGGCAAACAAAATCAAGAACACTGATTCCAAATCTGTACTCAGATTTGCCTGAGCACATAAGTGTTATTTATTTATTTTTTTTTTAGATATACACATAGTGTATTATATTAAAAGCAATTACATTAATAGTATATTAGTACTGCGTAGAGCATATTTATGTTCATGGAAAATTTAGATGACAATAGGAAATGAAAGAAATATAGTTTATTTCTGGTGACTATGTTTGAAATACATGCTCTTGTGCATTGAGCTAGCCACCCAATGTAGGAATGAACATTAGTCATGATTTGGGAATGAACCAGCATTGGTATATGTATTTCATTTCAGGTATGTCCTGGTGGAATCCCTCACCATGATAATCTCTTAGGACAGCCATATTTGTTGAAAACATTTAGATGAGAATGCAAGGATTTAATTTTAAGAGACAGTCAACATCATTCTTTGATATACCGTTTCATGTTACTTATTAATGTTGTCTTCAGATGTATAAGACTCCAAGAAGTTCTGTGTAACCCCAATTCCATGCTACCAGCTCAAATAGATACTTATATGCTATTAATATATTTACTATAAACATAAATATGCTGTATGCACATCCACAAAATATGACACACGAGGACAAATCAGTGTACTCAATTTAGTCTCATATGACATTATTTATCTGGATAAAAAAGTTGTTTTTATTGCATTGTGTAATTAATATAAAACAAAGTCTCCCCAATTAAGCACCTAACACAAAACTGTGAATATGAATTCAGAATTAGTAGACTCAATTTAATCTCTCAAA